AGGATAAGAATGGAAGTCGAATTACATATGAATCCAAAAATCCAGGAGTTCTGGATCGTGTGAAATCAAATCAATAACTATTCCTTATTGGGAGACCAACTCCGAAGAAAATCTTTGAATCCGTCGTACGTATCAGTTATTAGAGTTAATAATAAACACGCCAAGTGATTTACACTAAGCATTGAAACTGTTTAACTACGTAAAAGTCTAAAAATTCCTGGTAGAGATATGCTTGTAATGGCTGAAGTTATCTTAATGCCGACTGGATTAAACGGTTGAAGTGATTAATCGATTAAATAATTAAAAAATTCTAGGCAATTCTAATTCTTAATTTACACATGAGATCAGGTTTTTTTGTGCAATAGGATATAAAGTTGCATACAAATGACGAATATCGATATGTAATACACTTAACAGTTGATTCAACATTTCAGAAATGGTAAGCAAATAAATGTCAATTCGAGATCAGCTTAACATTCTAGTCGTTTGGCATAATTAATGATGATGACTTCTAAATTTTGGTTCATACCGATATCGATACCAACCTATCGCGAATTCACATTCTATCGCTTTGTTGAACAGCACAAAGGTTAACGGACATCGAGCTATTTATATATTACGCTCGGAAATTGAAATCTAAAATTAGAATTGATAATCTTTATTTTTTTAAATTTCATATAGTTTTAAAAGAAGTTTTAAATATTTTTTTGAATGAAATCCCAGTTACAAAATCGATACTTGTGGTTGAATATCCGCAGCAATAGCCTTTGAATATTTAAACAGAGGTTAGAAATTATTCTGTTTAATGGGCTATTACTGACCTGTCAGCTTAAATATCTCCCAAAATTGGGAATTTATCTTGAGAAACAATAACTAGACTTCGCTGCGATCATCATCATCATTTTTAGCGTTAAAGGCGTATATGCTCTTCTTTAAAGTTCTCCCGCCCTCTTGTCATATTTTTTCCAGGATATAGAGTTTTGATTTCTTTGATTGTCTGATTAAAAATATAGATTTCAATTTAAGAAGACGCAGTGAAAATACTTTGGAGAATCTAATAACGATTTGCATTCTATTAAACAATACAAAATAAAAACTTTTTTTTTTTTTTCTTTTTTTTTTTTTTTTTTGACTTAGAAAATTTTATTTAGCAAAGAATCACTTTAATTACCTTCGTGCTTTATGCCTCAATAATCAATTTAAAATTCAGTTTATAAATTACAGTATATAATTATATATCTCTCAAATAATTATCCTAAACTTGTCTTACCAAAACAAATCGTTACTTTCCATTCTCTCATCGCCGTCTTGCTTCCCCCCTCTTGAAGAAGAAACGTTAAATAATGATGACTGATGTTGCAAATTCTCGCAGTGCGAGTTTAGTAGATAGTGCTTCCGATTCCGAATCGATCACCGACTGCCTACAAGAAAAATCTGATGAAATCAGTAACGTCGCGTCCGACATTAGTTCAAATACGGATGATATCGTCGGAAATGGAATTACTATAAAGATAACCACTGATGATGCAGTTATTGTCAGTGCGGATGCTACTGATGATCGGCAGAACAAGAGTAACGACGGAGCCGTTTCGATCGGTAAGCACAACCTTTATAAAAATGTATTGTTTTACTATTTTATTTTATTTCATTAATATTTATTTCTCAAAAAAAAAAAAAAAAAATTAGATTCTCAAGACGATGAAGCTCGCGCTTTTAAATCTCAATTTGACGGTACCTTAGTTTTATATCTCATTTAGTGTCAACAGATAAGATCATAATATCAATACTGACTACAAGAACTATTTAATATTCCAGAAATTTCGAATATTACAAGAATGTTGGAAAATGCAAAGACGAATAACAACAATCGGTATTATGGATCTCCTGGGAGAGTGCATCCTGGCTTTTCTTCACCAAATTATTTACTACCACAGAGAAGAATGAACGGTACGGCGTCTTACTTTTTTTTTTCCTTTTTTTTTAAAATAAAAATTAATTCTTTTTATTTTAATAGTTCGCTCGCATCATCGGTCCTTTTCTCACCCAACATTGCCAACAACTCGTAATACGCCACAAAACAAGCGTAATCATGGTTCTTTCTACCCTGGTCATCACAGATTGGCTTCTTTACCTTACACTGGAATTCCTTATTCTGGATTTAGTCAAGATGAGGATTTACCCTTAAATTTTGATGATCCTTTGGTCGATGACTCTTCATATCCAAGATTTGGTCTTAAAAGCGGTTTGTATACATATATATATTTTTTTATTCCCCTGTCTTGTATATGCCCGCTTAATTTTTATGTATGGCCATTTTTTTCTAGATTCGGATTGGGATATCTCATCTCCAATGTCTTCAACTCCAGGCTATCCTTCGTCTCCAAGTTCTATCGATCCGTTTACTTCTTTACCATTATCCCCCAATAACTTTATGCATTCTTTCCTAGATGACGATGAATTGGCAGAAAAACAATTGATGTTGGAAGAGGAACGCATGATCCTTCAAATGAGACGTCAAGAACTAGATAATGCTATCTATAAATTGCATTATCAAAATTTTGATTCAAGTTTAAACCATTCTTTGTCTTCTTTGATAGAAACAAGATATAAACGTTCTCAAACTCCACCTCAAACAAAAAGTTCTTCATCCACAACACCTTCTTTATCAAGACAAACTAGTTTTACAAAAAATTTATCTCCTCCACCTCCAAGATTTCAACCCATTGGCCTTCCCGTTAAAAAGCCTACAGCTTGTGATTATTCGGTTTCTTCTACAATGTCAAGCTCGGCTCCTTCTCATTCTACCTTTTCTTTATTTTCTAAATCCCCTGGGCTCTCGCTTAATCATACTTTCTTACCTACCGTTAATGAACAAAAACTGTCCTCTGATATGAGTGAAGTTCTCGACGATGATAAATTAAATGAGTTCTCCTCGTTCGGTTATCCATTAACTCCTTCTGGTACTCCTCCTAAAAATGATAGCCGAGACTTTATTCCTTCTTCACTTCATCTTTCTACCAATCATTTCAGCCCTAAAGTTTGGTCTAATAATAATGATGTTGATTTTACTGCCGTTTCTCCTCGTTCGAAATCTTTTCGATCTTTGCCAAAACGTGATTATTATAGCGCTCCAACAACTCCAAATTATTATACTCCGCCTACTCCTCAATTTAATCGAAGTCCTCAACATACTTTAAATCCATTGTCTATTGGTCAGTTCACTAGAGCTAGTTCGTTGTACTCTTCTCCGGTAGATGAACGTGATGAGTTATGGCATGGTGATGAAGCTTTTAACCCTATTTTAACTCCTCCTCCTGAAATTCCTCCTATGAATAAATTCTCACCTTCAATTAATAATGAGAATAACTTGTTCAATAAAAATAATTCATGCCACCAATTCCATAACATTGTTCATCCTAAATTACTTTCTCCAACTCACAAAACTGGCGGGGAATTTTTTTCTTTGGATGGTAATCAAGCTACTTCTGATTCACATTATAATGGTTTAACTCATGATAAAGGGATTAGAGTAAATGGACTTTATAAACTTGAAGTCATATAAAAACATTTTTTTTATTGGCTATTTTTTAATTTCTATTAAATTTATTGCCTTTATTATTATTATTAATTTATTATTTACCATGTAATTCTATTTATAATCTCTTTTCCTTTTTTTTCTTCAGATCTGGTTTATCATTATTATTATTACTACTATTATTACTACTATTATTTGGGTGGGTTATTCTAAGTGAGGTTCTGAACTTATGGGGAAGATAACGGTTCTTGTGTTTATGGTTAGTAATTAATGTTTAATTTAACCTTGGACGATGTTTGAGAATATTTAAGTTGTAAATTATATATTTAATGATTATACTGAAATAATTTAATGATTCTAATGTGAGTGGGCATCTTTTATTTTAATTTTTTTAACGAAGGTTTATTAGAGTGGTTTTTTCTGCTTTAATTAAGATTTTTTTTTTTATTGGTGGTTCAAATATCATATACATACGTATATAACATACGTATATTATTTTGAATAAAATCACCTCTAAAAAATAGTATCCGCTTTAATATTGAGTATAAAATTGTCAATTGACACTTTTTTAGAATTTTTATAATATATATTGTATATAAAATTATTAATAGAATTCAGAATAATAATAATTTGGCAATTTTGATAACTACAATTCTTTATAAACTGTTTTTTTTGGGTCCGGTTTGGCTATCAATGTATTTCGAAAATCGTGCCCCCTAAAAATAGCATATGTAGATTCAAAATAACGCCCATGCGCGTTCCAAAATAACGCGCACCCCACTATTATGTATTTTGAAAAAGAAACCAGGTTCAAATATAGGGATGTTAAAGAGTCCGTTCGGTCCGACCTAGCTCCGGTTCTTAAAAGTCCGGATCTAACTCATGATCCACTTTTATTAAATTTATCTGGACTAGTTACACGGCATGCAAAGTATGGTGGTGAAGATAGATTTACACAGCCTGCCCTAAAAAGTTCGGTCCCAGACCCAGTCCGAACAAGTCCTTTGTGGGCTATTTAACATCCTATTCAGAAAACTAGCCTATATATTCGAAATAACGCCTATAGGCGTATTCGAAATAGCGCGCAAATGCCCGCTATTTCGAGATTTTACGGTATGTTAACTCAGATATAGCAGAAGGGTGTTAGTAATAATATCCTGATTCGTTGGGAATTAGCGGAAACAAAGTTTCCGCTTATTCACATACGGTAGGGTATTATTAATTAATCCTCCCGTTGATCTTGATATAGTGATCGGGGAATTATTTTTTTAACTTTTTAAGAATAGAGGGGAGGGATTATGTTAACTGATCTAGCGTTACCAACCTAAAAAATTTCGCTGTTAGATTAGGATTAGGTTTTGCTATTAAGTTAGGTAGAAAGAGCTTTAGTAGTACCAAAATCTCGCAAGGAAACTTTTGTTAGTGCGCAGAAGGTGATTTCATAGATAAAATGTTGAGTTATGAGCGGGTTTTTGATTTTTCGCGTTTCTTCTGCGTCACACCTGATCTTGAAATCTGATTGGCCAGTGAAATTTTTTAGGTTGGTA